TAATAATTAAATTATACATTGCAAATATATTATTATTATTTGCTTCAATTATTTTATACTGTAGTTGCAGTACACACTGTTGGTTTATACTAAATAATTAATTTACTACACTATTAAAAATAATTTTAAYAATATTATTTCTATACTTATTTAGAAAATATACTTTATATTTAAAAATTTATAATTATATTTATTTAATGGATAAATTAGTTAAATTGTTAGTTTAATTTCTTAAATGACAAATAATGATTTGTATTTATATTTAAGTAGGTATATTATATACCCATGAGTAATATTGTAATAATTAATAACAGATAACATTTTTTAGAAATCAACTTCACAACATATATTTTCACGGCTACCTCATGAATGTTTGTTTAAAAAGAAGTTCAAAAATTCAAAAATACTTAAAACCAGACCCTCAGTTTGCAAATATAAATATAGTAAAAATAAAATACGAATTTCATCGAAAAAACTGAAACAAAGAAGATATTCAACTATTCAAAAAACATTATCTACCAACAAAACATTTTGGGAAAATAAATATTTAATTCGGTCTCAATTAAAAGAAGCTATTCCACTGCTGCAGTTTACTGCTAAATCCATTAAAAAAAATACTGAAAATAATGAGATATATTCATGGACAAATACTGATGAAAATCTATTGACAAATAAAATAGAATTTATCAAGTACGATATTCAATGTTACCTAAATATATGTATGTATAATTTTTAGGTTTATTATTTAGTGAGCAATATTTAAAAAAAAAAGAAAATACTTAATTTAATTTTCAATAAATTAGTTGTATATTTCTAAATATTATGGATTGTTGAAAATGTATAGATCATACAGTAGTGTATAGATTATAGGTGAATAGAACTTTTTTATTTAGATGAAAAAGAATAATTTTTAATTTTTAATTAATACTTAATAGAATTCAATTTATGAACGCATTTATTACATTTGTTATTTTATAATATTGTTGTCAGGTACTATAAATACATACTACTAAAATTCATTTCAACATTATTTTATTGTTAGTCATTCAACTCTATAATTAATAACTCTAAATAAGTAAATTACACAGCTTAATATTATTATTGTTCAGTTGTATAACTAACGTTTAAATATTAATAACACTGAAATTTTGTAACATTTGTAGTAGGTAGATATTTAATTCTTATTTGAARCTTACTTTAATATTGTAAGACTTCATTGATACATAAATTAAAAAATTGATTTAGCTAAACATTTAATGATAGAATTAAATATTTAATTGTCAGTTTTTATATATAATATATAATATTATGTTATTGATAGAAAACTCATGTATATCAACTATAATTTAATTAATGTAATTTTTCCTTTAACAGGATGCTACCCATATATATGTTATTTCTGTCTTACACACATATGATATTACAAAAGGCCATTCACTAATTTTAAAAGTGTACTATTAGTTTTGATATTAGAGTAAATTGACCTATTATTAAACTCTACTAACTATCAAAGAAAAATCTCATTTTAATCTTATATCATTATCATAATTATAAAATCACATCTTGCTTGAAAATTAAAATGTTTAAAAATTGCTCACGCTTAAAGCACAGATAATTTTTTTATCAAAAAGTTTGATGATATGACTTGTCAATAATTTACTGTAATATCAAAATTAACAGTACATTTGGTATTGAAAATAGTGAACATATTTTTTTTAAGTTGTACAGTTCTAAGATGGAGACAACAAATACATGATTGTATAACATCTTTTTAAAATTGAATTACTAAAAGTTCTACTRTTAGTTATATAYATGTGTTTTTAATATGTGTGGTAAATTTATCTTTTGATTTTTTAGAGACGAACATATCATAAAAAAAGAAGACAATTCATCATTAGAATATAATCATATTGAAAATCAATTATATGATCCAAATAATTTTATAATGAATGATTTTACAGATACGGGTAAACTAATTCAAATATTTAAGTTTTAAGTGTCTAATATGTATTTATAGAATTATTTTTCATCAGATGATTTTGGAGATACCTTAGAAATTGAAAATATAATACAAGCACTTGATGAAAATGATTTGTGTATTGACAATAAAACACATACATGGTGGAAAAATGAATATGATTATGAAGATCAAGATGAAATACAAGACAAATTTTGTATACTGTTTAAAGAATTTAATAATTCTTAAACTATATTATAGTTTAAAGTTTAAATAAAAATGTTATATACATGTTTATAATTTAATATTAATATATATTTTTAATAGATAGATTTTAGTTGCTCTATTCACATCTATATTTACATATTTTATTTTGTTTTATTACGTTTATTATTATTATTATGTTGTGAATATTTTTAAAAGGTTTTTATGATATATTACATATTTTATGTTTTTAAATTTTATAATAATTTACTCAATTTTTTTGTATAATAAGTATAATCTTAATATAATTTTACATTATACTTAATCAAAATTTTTTAGGCAACTCTTAAATTAAAATTAAAACTTACAATAGGAGCTAAACTGTAATGAAATCTTTTATTTTTTTTATCATTATATGTTTTGTTGAGCATTTATTAAAAGCTCAAATATTAAAATGATTACTTGTATATTACATTTTTTGGTGTTTAATAAATTTTTTTTTAAATCGTTTTAAAGTATTTTTGATTTCTTTGACTTTGTAACTATTTGAAGTATAATACTGATGAGTGGCTATTTTATAAAATTAAACTTCATTGAAAATCTTGAATTTAGGCATGGATTGATGGATTGTACCAGTTATTACAATTGTATTTGTCATAACTTAAAATCAAATTATAATAGTAGGATATTTATAAAATATGTTTCATCTTATACATTAAGAACTACAGTTCTTTAATTTTCATTTATTTCTTAGTTGACTATGTATATGGTTAACTTTTTACATTTGTAGGTAAAGCTGTATAGTAAGTATAGTTACACATGTTTAGTTTAAGACTGATTTAAAAATATGACGAGTTTCAACTAATATACATCACCTATTGATTGYACAGTAACAGATTGTTGATACAATAATGGTACAGTCAAATCTGTAAGGTACACAGATAAATGCATTTTAAATGTTTTTACATACATACAGGGTAGGTAAAAAAGTATCTGAAGTCCATTATTTAGTTAATCTTAATCTACCTAAATGACTACCTACAAGTATCAAGTAGGTACGTATCCAGCTATGYATAAAGTGAAAATATTATGRTTTATATTTATGCCTATTATAAGCCTAAATATAYATTTTATTTTACGCTAAACTCATTATTATTTTAAAATAGACGTTTTATTTACGTAGAATAGTAATTACTAATTAGTAAATTAGTAAATATTTATAAATCCTTGCTCATTAGTACAACAGTACGTATTTCTACTCCGTACTACGGAGTACAGAACTACAGGCTACACCATAGTATTGGTGTATTTATTTATAATCAATGATTTTACTATGGACAACACGACTACTACCACAGAACAATACTATAAACAATATTATAATACTATAACAATACAGCTACTACAGAGTAGAGTACAGAGGATAAAATATCATGTCGAAATCTTGAATTTCTTTAGTGATATGTTTGTTCTTTAGTGATAGTAACGTAATTTTAATTCGTGGTGATGGTGGTAATATCTGATTCCCGTTTATCTATATTGATAATCAAACACATGATTCTTTATCTCGATCAAACGAAAATTACTACGAATTTCCGAAACACTGGTCGCCGGTCAAAAAAATAATTATTTATGAGTTCTGATTTTGGATTGAGAGGTGTGAATGTGTGATCGCCGAAGCGCCGACCGGTATTTTATTCGTAGATTGCTGGTTAGTGCATTAACCTATTTATTAATTTAACCAACTTAGTTAATTCTTTAATAGGTCGATGGGTTAGTGTAAGTACATAAATAATAATCTTTAAGTTTGAYTTGAATATGATATTGAATTGTGTTAATCATTTACTGATAAATATCTATCTATRTAATTCACTTTTTTTAGATTCAGTCAATCGCTTCAATTCAAATGGGAGTTTGGTGCCGAGTAAAAAATCTTTTATTTGGTGTTGCGATTGGACGCACAGTAATTGATACGTTTGGTTCTGTGGCTAGAGTTGATGGGATTTCTATGCAACCAACATTTAATCCAAATACCACGGTGGACTTTGTGTTATTATCGTATATTCCAGTGCGATTTGATTCTATTAAACGCGGTGATATAATTGTAGCCATATCACCTAGAAATCCTAATGAAACAATTATTAAGCGTGTAATCGGTGTTGAAGGTGATGTTGTGGTATCGAAAAAGAAAAATAATACTTCAAGTACACAAAGGTTTATTCCTAGAGGCCATTATTGGATTGAAGGTGATCACAAAGGTCATACATTCGATTCTACTAGTTTTGGTCCAATTTCTAAAGGACTAGTTGTTGCTAAGGTTTCAATTATAATCTGGCCTCCTAGTAGATGGCAACTACTTCAATCAGAAATTCCTAAATAAGGTAACAATATTTAAAAAGGAGTCGGGTAGTTATTTGTTATTGTTAAAATGTTTATATTGTTTTAAAGTGTCTGGGTGTTTGGTAATATAATATAGGTTAATATTTATTATTTCAGTATCTTTGTCAGAAACATCAAGTTATGATACATTTTTGATGAATAGTCAACCTATTTAAATACTTTTATCAAATTTCAATACTGTATACCATAAGCCATTTAATATTGAAATTCTATATTTTGTTCGAGTTTTGATAATTTATTGTCCTTAAGACAATGTTAAAGATAGGGTAAGGTTAGTATTTATTTTAGTCAAATTTCACCTAAGCTAAAGGATAGTAATGTTTGTTTTTTGCCTAATCATTCCAAACATTTATTAAAAATTGAAAGTGTTTCAAAAGGTTTCAAAATTCYTACAAATTACATGGCAATCACTAGAGATGTACACATACTACCTACTAATAAACAATATTTTATTTAAAATGTTATCAAACACTAATTAATATATTATTTATATGGGCTGAGTCYTTAAAACAATAGTGAATTACACAATTATAATAACAATAGCAATAACAAAATAAATAATTATTTTACAATATTCTGGATTTATAAAATAATATTTGATGATCATATAAAAATGTAAAAAGTAGAGGGTTCTAAATCGGCAGAGGACATTAAATTATTTTTAACTGATTATGTTATATATTTTTAATGAAAACCATAACCATTAGGCCATGAGTATTTGGA